TGGACTGCACCGTGAGACCCTGTTTTGAAGAACCAAACAGAACAAAAAGTGCTGGCCAGTCCTGACACGCTTGGACAGCACGTGTCCTCGGCGCAAGCAGGCACTGGGGCAAGAGGGGACACAGCTGTCCCTCGGGGTCTGGGGGACTGAGCGCAGGACCCCACCCGACGCGCACGGGGTGGGCGGGACGAGCCCCACGCCTCCCCCGCTGCGCCAGGTCCTCTCCGTCGCCTGCGGTTCGGGGCGCGAGTCTGGACCCCTGGGTCTGTGTCCCTCTTTGGAGTCGGGGAGCCCGCAGTGCACAGAGTAGACACGGCCTGGCTGTGCTGGGGCTGCGAGTGCTCTTCCCGCTTCTCCAGGAAGTCTGCTCCCCAGCTCGCCCGCCGCCCTGGGGACAGGTGCAGCCCCGTGACCCCCGAGGGCGGGGCCGTGAGGTGGCATCCACTCGGGAGACTCCAGTGCCTGCCCCTGTGCCCACCCAGCCCCCAGGACAAGGGATCGAACCCAGGGCCATCGCATTCTTTTCTTTCTTTCTTTATTATTTTCTCACTAAGTCAATGAATTGCCCAGGCTGGGTACAATCTTGGGATCCTCCTGCCTCAGCCTCCCAGCATGCTGGGATCACAGGCGTGCGCCCCACACCGGCCCTGAGCTCGAGACTGTCACATCCGTAGCGAGTTCCTTTCTCTCAGCCTGATCAGGAAAACATCAGCTAACGGAGAACAGAGGATCGAGTTGCTTAGCAGTTATATCTGACACGAAAGGAAAGCGGCGGCCGAGAACTTCAAAGATTCCTCCCGCCGCCCGCCGGCTGGGCGGCCCCAGCCGAGGTCTTTCAACAAGCCCGGTCCTGCCTGGTCCTGGGGCTCGGGAGCAGCTGCCCAAACAGGAAGCCGCGGTGACTGCTCGCTGCCCTTCCCCGAGTCCGCTCAGCCAGGAAGGCCGGCAGCCGGCACTGGGAGCCTCTCTGGGACCGGGGCAGAAACCGCTTCCCGAGGAAACAGCCAATGGAAACTCACGCCAGGTGGAGTGTGGGGCGTCCCTCCCTCGAGCACGGTCACCTGAGGGCACCTGTGGGACAGGCTGGGACCCAGCCCCGAGGGCACCGTCGGCGGCCGGGAAGGCTTCGATGGATCTTAGCTCCCTGAGCGGTGTGGTTCGCAGCATTGCGGATGGAACCCAGGGCCTTCACGCGGAGCTGCATCCCCAGCCCTTTTAAATTTTTTGACGGAGTCTCACTAAGTGGCTGAATATCCCAGGCTGGGCTTGGACTTGCAGCCCTCCTGCATCAGCCTCCCACAGTGCTGGGGTTACAGGTGTGCACCACCACGTGGGTTTGGGTTTTTTTGGTACCAGGGATCAAACTCAGGCCCTTGCACTTTCGAGGCAGGCGTCGGTAGAACCACTGAGCTAAATCCCCGGCCCCCAGGTAGGTTTTTAATCTAGATTTAGTATGCATGGAGCGGATCAACCAGCTAAAGCCCACTTTCAAGATACTTCTTTGGAATTACTGATTTCAGGCAACCAAATTTTTGGTTTTACAGGCAGTCATGCCCGTTTCCAGTATTTAACTTCCCATCAGACTTCAGTAAAAGCCCGCAGGAGGGGCTGGGGAGTGGTTGTCTAGGGGAAGGGAGGCCCTGGGTTCGATTCCCGACACCGCAAAAAGAAGGGAGAAAGTGTCCACCTTACCTGACCCGCCGGCCCTCTGACCACTCGGGCCTCTACTTTGTGAATCGGGGCGCTCTCCTCGGGGCGCGGTCACTTGGACCCGAGCCCCATTTGGAGCAGGGGAGGAGGCGTCTCTCGTGCGCTGGCGGCCAGGGTGATTCCTCCCACGCACAGGCTGCCTGGAAGCCAGCAGCCAGCGGGGGATTAGAAACGCTCGGCCCCGACGGTGACAGCGCCCGAAGCGCTCATTCAGATAAAAATGAAAACTGCGCCGCGTGGTGGCGCATGCCTGGAATCCCAGCACTGGGGAGGCTGAGGCAGGAGAATCCCCCGGGATCTCGAGGCCAGCCTGGGCCACAGGAGACCCCAATATTAATCCTCACTGTCGTCAGCCCGATCTTTGGCTGTGCCTGGGAGGTGCAAAGACATCGCAGCTCGTGCTTTTCAACTCGCTACTCGCCCCCTCCTGGGACTGCAGCCGGCGCCTTCCCGCTGAGCTGCGTCCCCAGTTCTTCTTAAATCTGAGACTGGGTTTCACTAGGTTGGCCAGGCTGGACTTGAACTTGTGATCCTCCTGCCTAAGCCTCCCAGGGTGCGGGGATTACACGTGTGCACCCCCACGCCTGGCTCCTAATTGCTGCTTTAAAAAGCTCCTCAGCTCCAATCCGGAGAAGCTAGGGAAACGGTTCTGCTGAGGCGCAACGCGAGAGCGAGGGAAACCAGGTCCGCGCGCGGATGCCCGCTCCGCCCACCTGCGGCGGTGCTGGTCGGGGACCCGAGGTGCTGGTCCGGGACCCGAGGTGCTGGTCCGGGCGCGGCCAACAGGGGGCGCGCGGGGCAGGCCGGGACTGACCCTGGGGAGCCGCTGTTTCTTTGTTTGTTTGGTACCGGGGATCGAACTCGGGACCTTGCGCTTGCAAGGCAAGCCCCTGAACCACTGAGCTAAATCCCCAGCCCAAGGGAGCCGCTGTTTGAATGCCCCGAACTCTGCGGTCCAGCCCTCTCTGCATTATTGTGCAGTGCACTCACTGCGCAACAGTCACTGCTCCGCAGGAAGCCCAAGCGGTGTAGCAGCTTGTTGGACCAACTCGGGTCCCTCGTAAAAAAATAGTTGCGGTTCTGAAACGAACCTTTCCGTTCTCGCCTCTCCCCGGAGAACGACGTGGGGTTTGATCGGCAGGGCCGCCCGGCCATCGCGGCACAGATCTCCGCCCGGGCGCGCCGGCCTGGGAGGTTCCGGGCACCGGCGAGTCCGCTCCCCCTGCGGTCTGCGGGGCTCCTCCCCGGGCTGCTCCGGAGTAGCCGGGCCGCCCCTGCTGCCTCCGCGACCGCACGCTTTGGGTGGCCTGGATGTGGGCGGCTGGAAATATTTTGAAACAAGGTAGCGCTTTTTCCGTGTGCGTTCTGTTGAGTTTCTCTCTGCAGTGCACCCCGCCCCCGGGCTGAGGCTTGAACTCAAAGCCTTAGCGCTGAGCGGCAGCCCCAACCCCTTTTTTACTTGTTGAACTTTACAATTTTAAGACGGGCTTGCTAAATTGCCCAGGCTGGGCTGGGATTTGAGCTCCTCCTGCCTCAGCCTCCTGGAACGCTAGGATTACGGGCGTGTGTACCCCGCTGAGCATTTGGAGCTCATTCGTCCACTAACCCCACAGCGATCGCCCATGGGGTGCGGAGGGCCCCTAGGAAGGCGTCGGGCTGGGGGACCAGGTGCCTCCTGGGAGGTGTGCGGGCTGGGGTTTAGGGCACAGCGATGGTGTGTGGCTCGGCCCGCCTCTCCCGCCCGGCAGCCGTGTGCCTTGGGGCGCCCTCAGGCCTCCTGAGCCCGCGGGGACCTTGCGATCTTCTGCACAGCCCTTTTCTTGGTTTTCTTGAGAGAGCGTCTCCCAACTCGGAGATGCTCCTGCTCCAGCCTCCCCAGTGCTGGGATTCCAAGGTGCGCCACCAGGCCGAGCTGCCAGTAGCAAACCCTCCCGGCCTGCGGGCCAGCGGGAGGACGGAGCCTGGGCCGGGCTGCCCGGGCCCTCCGAGGACACTCTTCAGAGGTGGCACCCCGGCTGGCGCCTCAGCAGGAGCGCTCGGAGGGCGCAGTGTGCTTCCCGCACTGCCCCTGAGTGACAGATGTGGCCAGCCGGGCGTGGCAGTGCACACCCGCAATCCCAGCACTCTGCGAGGCCGGGGCAGGAGGATCCCAAGTTCAACCCCAGCCTGGGCAATTTAGCAAGACCCTGATTCAAAATTTTTGAAACACGTTTAAGGGGCTGGGTCACAGCTCAGTGTGAGGCCATGGCTTCGATCCGCAGTGCTGGGGAAAGCAGTGGGTTTCACAGAGCACGCTCTGATGGCAAGAGATGCGGACACGCGTGGGGAGCTGAGGGGCGACCACAGGCACGGCCTGCATAAGGACACAGCGCGCAGGCGCGAGTCCGCGGGGTTTCTTGCTTCGTCCTCGGCCCCGGGCAGGGCCGGCCGCCGCAGCCAGCTCGGGAAGTTTCGGAAATGACAGCGCCGCGCAGGCCTCGCGCAAGTGCGTGAGGCTCGCTGAGGGAGGGCCGCGGTCCGTGGGGCGGGGCACAGCGGTCAGGGCTGCGTGGCCGAGTCCGGCTGCCCCATGCGGCCTTGCACGCCGCGCGTGCACGCGTGACCGCCTGTGCCGAGCCATCCCGACGCACAGCCAGTAGCTGTGCTCAGAAAACAAACGCAAGTTCGGAGCGGAAATCTCCGAGCTGAGTTTGAAAAATACGGTGCCGGGGGCCGGGATGTAGCTCAGTGGTTCCGGCGCCTGCCTCGCAAACGCAAGGTCTTGAGTTCGAGTCCCGTAACCAAAAAAAGGAAAAGAATAGAAAAATGTGGTCCACATAGTATTTAGATTTTAAAAGTGCACTGAAAGACTCCTTGCCGTTAGTCCCCCTCAGTCCTCCCCATGCTTGGGGTCTCTGCCGCAGCTCCGGAGCCCTCTGTCCAGAGGCTGCCTCAAGGGCCTGAACCGATTCGGTCATGGAGACCTGGGGAGGAGCCGGGGTCGCAGGGTGCCAGGCCCGGTGGACGGGGTGGCTGGGGGGCGCAGCGTGGTGTTTTGGGGGCTGGCGCCCGGCGGCGGCCTCTGTGTGGCTTGGTCCCAGCTCACGCGCCCGCAACGAGCCCGGGGGGGGGGGGGCGCCTGGCCGGGGCCCCGCCTGCGCCCTGGCGCTTTGCATCGCTTCGCTCCCCTGCGCGTCCCGCGAGTCGATCGTAAGCCGATCGATGGATCGCGGCTCTCTGTTCGCACCCCGGAGCGGGGCCGCAGCCCAGGCGTCGGGGAGTCACAGCGCCTCTGTTTTCGTGTCTTCCAGTGTCATCTTGCATTACAACCTATAAGAAGACACCACCTCCAGTCCCACCCAGAACCACCACGAAACCTTTCATTTCTATCACAGCGCAGAGTAGCACCGAGTCCGCGCAGGACGCCTACATGGACGGGCAGGGCCAGCGCGGTGACATAGTCAGCCAGTCGGGGCTCAGCAACTCCACCGAAAGCCTGGACAGCATGAAGGCCCTGACCGCCGCCATCGAGGCCGCCAATGCGCAGGTCCACGGCCCCGCCAGCCAGCACGCGGCCAGCGCGCCCGCGGCCGAGGACCGCCGGAAGGAGCCCAGGAAGAGCCGCTGCCTGTCCGTCGGGATACAGGTGACGCGCGGGCCGACGCCCCCGGAACCAGAGTCGGGTCCCCTCCTCCGGGCTCTGCCGAGCAAGGCCACTCGGCCCCTCGGCCCTGACCGGCGGGCTCGGCAGGCTGCACCCCGTTCAGTTTTCGGCCCATCTGGGAGAGGAATTCGGGGCTTGAACTCGGGGCCCTCTCACCGAGCTCTGTCCCCAGCCCGTCTGCATTCTTCCTTTTGAGACAGGGTCTTGCTAAGTTGCTAGATAGCCCAGGATGGACTGGAACGCGCAATCCCCCTGCCTCAGCCTCCCAGAGCGCTGGGGTTATAGGCACAGGCCACCACACCTGGTGAGTTCCGCTTCTCTAAGCAGCCATGGAGCTGCCTCTGCCTTGCTCTTTGCCCCTGCTTGGCTTGGCTTAGCCTGCAGGGACTCTTCTGCCGGAGAAGCCCTTCCTGTCCTCTTCCGGCTGGGCCCTGCCTTCCGCAGGCGCCTGCAGGGCAGCACCTGGGCCGCAGCGCTGTCCCCGGGGCCCCACTAAACCCCTGAGGCACCCGGGAAACCTTCCTCCAGGCAGAGGCTGGCGGCCAGGGCCCTGGGCCAGTCTCGCCCGACCTGATCCTGGCTCCCTTGTTTACCCCCCACAGAGCCCCGCGCCTAGTTTTTAACCCTCTGACCGGTGACCGGTGACCGTAATAGGGCTGTGGTCAGCGCCGGGACAGCGCTTACTGAAGAGCGGCCGCGGGACCAGCTCCCCTCCCACTCCCGTTCAGGGGCCCGATCAGCTCTCCTCTCTGAAGCACTGATTGCTGTAATCAGTATTTGCACCACCAGAAACACTCTTACACTTGATTCCTTTTTTATTCAGATCTTAGAATATTTTCACTATTTTTTTTTAAGATAGGGTTTTACTACGTAGCCCAGGCTGGCATCAAACTTGTGGCGATCCTCCTGCCTCAGCCTCCCAAGCGCTGGGACTGCAGGGGGTGCCCCAGCACACTCAGCACTTTTTACGATTTTTGAAGATAACTGTTGGCCAATCTTACTTTTAATTTTATTATTTATTGATTAACTGGGATTTGAACCCCGGGCTTCAATCATGCTAGACAAATGGGTAGCCCTGAGCTACACCTTCAGCCCTTGCTCTGAGACACATCTTGCCAAGTTTCCTTGGGTGCCATCAAACTTTTAATCCTCCTGCCACAGCCCCCTGAATAGCGGAGATCACAGGTGTAAACAACCACGCACAGCTGACTTTCCATTTTATTTTAAATCTTCCAGATGTTTATTCTAATTACTTCGAAGTTCTGCTAGCTGTCTTCTCTATTACTTTCTAAATAACTATGTCTTGGAACCGAGCATTCACAGCAGGGCCTGATGGTGGGCACTTGTAATCCCATCACTCTGGGAGGCTGAGGCAGGAGGCTTGAAATTTGAAACGAGTTGGGCAGTTTTTACAGATGTGCACTACCATACCCAGCTGAATGATGTGTTTTATCACATAAACAAAACTCTTACACCCACGCTTTAATGAACACAAGAAAAAAATTATAAAATACCATGGTTACAAAAATACAGATGTAAAAATTCTTGAGTTGGGCATGGTTTACACCCCTGTCATCCCAGCACTCAGGAGGCTGAGGCAGGAAGATCCCCTCGAGTGCAAGGCCAGCCTGGACTACATAGCAAGACCCTATGTCCCAACAATCGAGAAACTGAGGAAAGAGGACCATGAGTTCAAGACAGCCTGGGCTACACCTGAGACCCTGTCTCAAAAATTCAAAAATAGGCCGGGGATTTAGCTCAGTGGTTCCGCCGCCTGCCCCTCGAGCACAAGGACACCAGTTCCAACTCCGGTACCAAAAAAACCCCCCAAAAACAAAACAAAAATTCAAAAATAGCGCAGGTTGGGAGGGTTGCAGGGGGAGGGAGGATGGGAAGGTTGGACAAACAATTAAATACGAAAAAAAAATCCCCTAAACCTGCAGCTGGGCGTGGTGGCAAAACCCCATAATCCCAGCACTCAGGAGGCTGAGGCAGGAGGATCGGTGTAAGTTTGAGGCCAACCTGGGCTACAGAGTGACTTCAGGACCTGTAGCTTGAACTACATGGCGAGACCTCCTCTCAAAAAGTAGAAAACAAAAAAGCTCAAAACCGGAAAGCTGGAAATGAGTGCATAAGATTCTCTACAATAAAGAACAAAATTTATAAGATAAAAGATAAACCGAGAGAAAATATGAGTAATGTATCAAAGGGTTTACGGTCATCAGAGAGGTCTTATGAATAAGAAAATTTCAGGGGCCGGGAATGTAGCTCAGTGGCACCGCACCTGCCTCGAAAGTGTAAGGTCCTGAGTTTGATCTCCGGTACCAAAAAAACAAAAGAAAAGAAAATTTTAAAAATTGAGGACTTACACTTTCTACATTATATTTCCACATTTTAATTTTGTGTAACTTACAATAAATTGCTTTTTATCTAAAAATAATTTATTAAATATGAGGAGGTAAACTTAATTGTTCCAAATAGTCCTAAAATTTCCTTCCAGCCTGGATTGGGGTTGACGTGTCACAAATACTTTCAGTCACAGAGGGGGACATCTTCCCCCTGAGCTCTGATAAGTAGCCATGGACAAGCTTCCGACAGATTTCAAAGCAGTTTTTAGTAGGAAGAGAAGAAAACGGAAGACAGTCTACCGTTTCTCCTAATATGCAAATCTCCTAATATCAACAATGTGTAAATCTTCCAATACAACAAGTGTGACTGTAAGCAATGAATTCACCCTCTTCGATCTGGTATTTAATGTGTTAATGCGGCGCCTGCAGGCACGCATTCCTCCTACACGCCCTTCTGGTAAGGACTCGAAGACCCCTCCCCACCCATGGTTCCGCATTCACGCATTCAACCAACCACAGATCAAAAAAAAATTTTTTTTAAATGCATCTGCATTGAACATGTACAGTCTGTTTTCCTTCCATTATTTCCTGAACAATACAGTAGGATTACTATTGATCAAGTATGATTAGAAAACAATGTATATGGTGAATGTTTAAATAAAGCATTTTGTTACAGGGAAAGACTGTCATTGATCCCTCTCAACTCCCCCTTCACTTCAAGCATACTTCACCCATCCTTCTTGCTGCTTTCTGGACCCGCTGTGGAGCCCTTTTTCCTGCATGTTTTATGAGACATGATCATCAGTACAGTGAATGCTGCTGTTGAATGCCCTCCAACAGAAAGGCAGGTTCATAAAAACAGCACGCTGTGTCCTCATCCACCTGTTCCTCAGACCTAGCACTGCACAACTTCTAGCTCTTCCTCAAAGTCAACCTAACCATGAAAGGGAAACATTTTGAATTGATTCAGGACAATGAAGCAACCACAACAGTATAACAAACAGTACTCACAAAAGAGGGCTCCAGAACTGCTTCAGAAAGTGGCAAGAAGGATGGGATAAGCGTGTTTGAAGCAAGGGGGCATAACATAGGGGGATTCGTGACCGTGTGTGTCTTTTACTGTCATAAAAATTTTTTTAATTAAACATTCACTGTATTTTTTATCACATCTTCATACATAGCATTTATACTGTGTTAAGCATTATGAATGACCTGGAGATAATTTGCAGTATATTGGAGGATATTTGTAGCTTATATACAGATACTGTACCGATTTATATGCAAATCTGTGGACTTGGGTATCTCTGGAGGCCCTGGAAGCAGTCCCCTGTACTTGCAAATGAATGGAGGAGTCATAGACATTTATTAGCCAGCTTGAGAGTGAATAAAATTGCATTTGGATCAACAGAGGCCAAGAGCCTGCTAATAAGAGAGTGATGGCCCTCATCAGATACACAAATATTGAACAAAGAGGTTACAAGTTACAACACTCCAGAATACTGCAAATTTCTGATGAAATGACTTTTTTTTCAAGTGAGGTGACTAAATGGAACAACTCTAATTGTTTGATGATTCCTTCAGGTGGATGATGCTGAAGAACCAGATAAGACGGGAGAGAATAAAGCTCCCAGTAAGTTCCAGTCTGTGGGAGTCCAAGTAGAAGAGGAGAAGTGGTAAGTCCACAAGCATTCATCCTCTTTCATCCTCATGTAAGCAAGTATGATAAAAGTATCTGTCCCATGATAAAGCTTCAGAATTCAGGGACCTTCCTCCTAACTCTTGGAGCATTTACAGGGTGAGCTTGAGTCAACATCAGCTGATTCCCTCCTGTTTTTTTAATACTGGAGACCACCCTGTTAAGTTTTAGCTAGAATACTAGTCTTGGTACACCATATTCACATAAACTTTGCATCCAGTAGTCCTCTTAAAAACTTCATAGAGTTCTGGCCAGGGATTTAGCTCAGTGGTTCTGCTGCCTGCTTTGCAAGCGCAAGGTCCCAAGTTCAATCCCCGGTACCAAAAAAAAACCAAAAAACTTCATAGAATTCTATGAGAAGAAAAATTATTTTTATTCTCAGAACTTCACAGTGTTTGATGTTTAGTATATGCTCAAGGAATGATGAATGAATAAATGAGTGAATGAAGATTAAAAGGGGGAAAGAGAGAGAATAGTTCCTATCTTCACTCTGAATCACAAGTTACTTTAGGTTGATCTTTAAGCGTATTCCAGCCTTTATATGGACAAGTGGGAGATTCCAGGTTTTACAAGATCACAGAATCTAGCAGCTAAAAGAGATTTCTGAGGTCAATATTTTCATTGTATAAATGACAGTTTCATCAAGAGATATATGTGAGTTTCTCAGACAAACTGTGAGGTCCTTTGTGGGTAGAACTATACTTTCACTGATAGTGGTAGCCCTAGAATCTAGCACTGTGCTGTCCAGACTGAATATGCAGTTAATGTTGGCTGAATGAAGTAAACTGGAGTTATGATCAAAGAAAGAGCTGTAGATTACGAATCAGAATATCATCTTAGTCTTCCCCGTAACTTTCTAAGTGCCAATTAGTAAGAATCTGTTACCTGTCATCTGCTGATCCAGCTGTTAAACATTCATTCAGTGAATTTCTGTGGGAGACCTCTTATATGCAGAGCTACATACCTGGACTAAAAATCTGAAAAGAAGTCATGCTGGAAGCCTGAAGGGATAACTCAGTGGTACTGCACTTACCTAGCATGCTCAAAGCTCTAGGTTCAAGCCCCAGCACAATTATGAGAGGTGAGACATGTATCATTCCATCAGCTTACAAAAGTCCTCCCCTTTTTAGGGCTGGGGATCACACTCAGGACCTCACACATGCTAGGCAAGTCCTCTGCCACTAAAGCTATACCACTAAAGTCCTATTTCTTATTTTAGAATATTTTAGTATTTATTGACAAGACACACACACACACACACACACACACACATATCTCCATCACTGGAATGAAATAAACAGCATCTACAACTTAAGGAGAGGTTTATTTGGGTCACAATTTTAGAGGGTTTAGTGTATGATAGGCTCTGAAGCAGAAATGGCATGGTGGAAGAGTCTGATAGAGGAAAACTGCTCCCCCCATGGCAGCCAAGAAGCAGAAAAAGGAGAAGTCAGGAACAGAATACACCTCTTCAGGTCATGCCCCCAGTGACCCACCTCTTCCAACCAGGTCCCACCTCCTAGAAGCATAAGAACTCATCAATTGGATTAATCCACTGATGCATACAGTGCCTGCATAATCCAATAACCTTTCAAAAGCCCCATTCTGAACACATGAGACTTTGGGGGGACATTTTAGATCCAAACCATGACATTCTGCTCCAGCCCTCAGAAGTCTTATGTTCCTCTCTAAGAGTCATCAAAGTCTTAACAGTTCGAACACTGTTGAAAAGTTGAAAACCACAGTATCCTCTCAGACTTGAGGCAAACTCTTAGCTGTGAACCTCTGTGAAAATCAAAAAGAAAGTTAAATGCTTTTAATGTACAATGGTGCAGGGTAATCATTCCCATTCCAAAAGGGAGGAATAGGGGAATAGAAAGGAATTTGACCAAAGCAAGACCAAAACCCAGCAGGGCAAACATTAAGTCCCATGGCTCCATGTCCAGCACTCAGGCAGGTTGTGGTGAGACATAGGCTCCAAATGGCTTAGGAGCCTTGCTGGTCGCAGCCCACATGGCCTCTCTTGAGCTGCCTGTGCTCAACTTCCTGTGGCTTTCCTCAGGTGTCTTATATTCCTGGCATCACCAACTTCCTGGGGTCTCCATTGCAGCTTTGGCATTATTTTTACAGCTTTATGGAATACCCTCTCAGGGGCTTATTTCTTAGCCTCCAGGCCTTTCTTTGAAGTCTGGGTGGAAACTCCCATGACCTATACCTCTTACATTCTGTATGCCCATAAAACCAGTACTACGTGGATGAAGTCAAGGTTGGCTGCCAATTTAAATAGTAGTTAGAACTTCTTAGAGTGGCCGCTGAGTGCCTGGATGGCTGAACACAGGGAAGCACTTCTCTAGGTGGTCCTGAATGAGCAGGGTATCCTGTGGTTCTTTTTTCAAGCGAAGTCCTTTAAGGGAGCTTACCATTTTATACCCTTGCCTATGATGAGTGAGGTCAGGCTAATTCCTAAGATACCCACAAGGTATCTTTTTAATCATCCTAATGAAAAGTATTTAGTTTCTTTTTCATGACTCTAATCTTTCTAGCAATCATTTTCTCTTTGCCTCAAGTTTACAAACATTTCTTTGCTGGCCAAGCTGCAAATTTTTTAAATGATTGAGTTCTGCTTTTTGCTCCTGATTCTCAGTGTAGATCTGGCTAAACACAGCCAGCAGTACCCAAGCCACAGCCTGAACATTGGGCTGCCTTGAAATTTCTTCCTCCAGATTAATTAGAATGCCACCCTTAAGTTTAGCTTCATAGAAACTCTTAGAACATGGGGGAAATATAGGGCTTTTTTTCCAGAATGTAGCATTCATAGCATTTAGTCCACTTTCCAATGCAATTTTTGTTCCTATCTGAAACTTCCTGAGTCTGGCCTTTACTGTCCACATTCCTGTTAGCATTCTGGTCTTTTAAATTCAACAAGTATTGCCTTTCAAGCTTGTGTACAGCATCTAGGATTTTTCTAGCCTGCATCTCCAAACCTTTCCAAACTCCTACTGCAAACTAGTTCCAAAGGCTTCTGAACCACAGTCAGATAGTCACAGTAATGACTGCACTCCTAGTACCAGTTTTTTGTATCATTCACTTTTCCATCACTGGGCCAAAATGCCCGACACCTACAACTTAAAGAGAAGAGGTTTATTTGACTCATGCCTTCAGAGAGTTCTGGCCATGCACAGTTGGCTAACTCCAAGGCAGAAACAGCATGAGGAAAGCTGCTCAACTCATGACATCCAGGAAGCAAAGAGAAGGAAGAAACCAAGGATAGGAATACACCCTTTCAGGTCACACCCCCAGTGGCCACCTCTTCTAACCAGGCCCCACCACCTAATAACACAAGAAACTATAAGTTGGATTGATCTACTGATGAATACAGCACCTCCGTGATCCAGTCACCATTCAGAAGACCTACCTCTGAACACATGAGACTTGGGGAGACATTTTAGATCTGAACCCTCACACACACACATGCACACACACACACACACACACACACACAAGTGTACAATGCTGGAAACCCAGAAAATTGGTATAATCATTCTATTTTTTTTGTTTGTTTGTTTTTGTTTTTGGTACCAGGGATCGAACTCGGGTCCTTGCGCTTGTGAAGCAGGCAGCAAAACCACTGAGCTAAATCCCCGGCCAGTATAATCATTCTAGAAACTAGCAGGACAAAAAAATTGTTAATATTTATGCATCTATTCATACACATTGACCTCTTAATCACATTGATGGGGTTATCTTGAATGAAGTCACTCAGTGGAAGAAAACTATTGTGGAAAATTATCATTGTAAAAGAAAACATTAACTATCAAGTCTCAAACAATAGTATGCTTTTATAATTTATAGCATATCAGCAAGGTAGGCTGTTGTACAGCTTAATTTATCCCACTAAATGTCATTTGAATAAAAAGGAAATACAAAAACATAGGAAAATAACCACAACACAATGTTAAGTAAAAAAATATGTAATATCCCTACATAATATTCACACAGATGGACCAGGACTGAAATGTAATATGTATGTATGGTTGTTTTAATAGTAACTCTTTTTTTCTTTTACTCTAATGTTTACTTCTTGTATGAACTTCAAGCTTTTGTAATCAGTATTTTCATAACAACACTTCTAAGCACATGTTCCATTATTGAATATTTTACTTTTTGCGTGGTGCTAGGAATCAAACTGCAATAGGCCACTACTCTAATCCTGAGTTACACCATTGCCCCTGAAAAATTGTTGAAATGAAAGATCTCAAAGTAAGAAAATCTGTTTGTCCACCCCCTCCTTCCTCTCCCCTGCAACATTCCAGTGTATTATTTTGCTCTGTGCTGTGCTGGTTAAGAGTTCAAGTGGCCTAGAACACCTGGATCCAAATCCTGGCTCTGTGGATTCCGAGCTGAGTGGCTTGTGGAGTGCTGAGCAGTTAGGGAGGTCGTTTCCACCTCCATCCAGCCCTACACCAGAGTCCTGTGTGTTGCTGCAAAATGAGCTGTTTAAGAAATGTAGTCCGCCTTCCTGTAATGAGTGTGACCATTGCGGGTCCTCACCCTCCCCGGCCTGCATCTACTGTAGGTGTGGCCTGCATCACTTGCCCAGTGGAGACAACACTGGCCCAACCCTTACTGGCATTTTCCCCACCTGCTTGGGTCCAAGCTCCTCTCTCCTTCCATCTGCACTCTTCCCTTTAAAAACAGCACCACACGGCCCAGGGGTGGAGCTCAGCGGCACAACGCCTGCCTGGCAAAGGTGAGGTCCTCAGTTCAATGCCCGGTACCAAAAAAAAACAAAACAAAAAAACAGCACCACAAGCCAGACAAGGTGGAACACACGCATGATCCCAGCCCTCTGGGAGACGGAGGCAACATGATCACAAATTTGAACCCAGCAAGAACTTGTCTCCGAATAATGTAGCTCAGCCGTACGTGCCACCTCCCAGTATGGCAAACATCTATAAATCAATCAGTCAATCAATC